ATGGAACAAAAACTCAGAGATCACACACATTACCTTAAGCTATCTCTCTCCCGGGCTGAGATGTTCTTCACAGCCCCGCTTTCGATCCCGGTGTACCGCCCTCTCCTCTCCTATGTTCCTACAGGCCCTCTATATACAACCCCCACAGGGGGGAGGGGGAGATCTGCTGTTGCTACCCACCAAAAGTGTATAAACACTCAAGAAATATTTCAATAAGCTTGTTTGACATTCACCATACACTCTTCAAGAGAGGAGTTATTAACTACGTGTGTGGCTGACCTCTGACCTGGCCAAAAGGGGGAGATCCAGGGATGTTTACACATAAGAATCTGGAGTCTAATTTCCTTGCATGAAATATTACATACTTGAAACTCTGCTGACTAAGACTAACCCAGGAATTTTTAATCAATATACAAGATAAACCGGAGGTCATCTGGGCTGACCTCTTGGAGAAGGCTTCCCTGGGTGTGAACTCTAAGGGGGGGGGGATCATGGGTGTTACAGCTCCCTTTACACGTTGTGTTGTTCACCAGACCTGTTCTACACGTTGCGTTGTTCACCAGACCTGTTCTACACGTTGTGTTGTTCACCAGACCTGTTCTACACGTTGCGTTGTTCACCAGACCTGTTCTACACGTTGCGTTGTTCACCAGACCTGTTCTACACGTTGTGTTGTTCACCAGACTTGTTCTACATGTTGTGTTGTTCACCAGACTTGTTCTACATGCTGTGTTGTTCACCAGACCTGTTCTACACGTTGTGTTGTTCACCAGACCTGTTCTACACGTTGTGTTGTTCACCAGACCTGTTCTACACGTTGTGTTGTTCACCAGACCTGTTCTACACGTTGTGTTGTTCACCAGACCTGTTCTACACGTTGTGTTGTTCACCAGACCTGTTCTACACGTTGTGTTGTTCACCAGACCTGTTCTACACGTTGTGTTGTTCACCAGACCTGTTCTACACGTTGCGTTGTTCACCAGACCTGTTCTACACGTTGCGTTGTTCACCAGACCTGTTCTACACGTTGTGTTGTTCACCAGACTTGTTCTACATGTTGTGTTGTTCACCAGACTTGTTCTACATGCTGTGTTGTTCACCAGACCTGTTCTACACGTTGTGTTCTTCACCAGACCTGTTCTACACGTTGTGTTCTTCACCAGACCTGTTCTACACGTTGTGTTGTTCACCAGACTTGTTCTACATGTTGTGTTGTTCACCAGACTTGTTCTACATGTTGTGTTGTTCACCAGATTTGTTCTACACGTTGTGTTGTTCACCAGACCTGTTCTACACGTTGTGTTCTTCACCAGACCTGTTCTACACGTTGTGTTGTTCACCAGACCTGTTCTACACGTTGTGTTGTTCACCAGACCTGTTCTACACGTTGTGTTGTTCACCAGACCTGTTCTACACGTTGTGTTGTTCACCAGACCTGTTCTACACGTTGTGTTGTTCACCAGACCTGTTCTACACGTTGTGTTGTTCACCAGACCTGTTCTACACGTTGTGTTCTTCACCAGACCTGCTCTACACGTTGTGTTGTTCACCAGACCTGTTCACTCCTCCCACTCTCACAGTCACAAGCCAAGTTCCTACAATAATTAAATCTACACCACTGAAGCCCAAAGTAGTTAAAAGGGAAAAGAACATTTACATATAATTAAAAATAATTCAATGTGTCGGGGGACAAGCAGCCAGTGTGTTTATACATGTTAGGCTTATATACAAATATTCACCCGCCCCCTTCCCGAGATGCAACAACAAACTGACTCCTGGGTACCTACTTGCTGCAAGGTGAATAGATGCATTAGGGGGATAATTTCGAACCCGAAATTCTCGATTGTGAGTCGAGAACGAGTACTATACAGGGACCCTGATGTATGATATATACTGAATTTATTTTTATTTGATGAAAGGAGGACTTTTTAAACAACCTGTCCTCTCACTTAAACCATCGCATTTTTAACGGAATCAGCCGACGTAATAGTAAAATCTAAAGCACCGCAATATTGACGTCTTGTACCCTTCGGCCTCGATAGGTCAGGTAGGTCGCTAAGGGCTCGAGCTTTTCGACTTAAACCAAACAACTTAATCACTTACAAAGCGGTAAATCAAGGGAACGAAGAGAGATGTGGGCGAGAGTCTGCTCTGAAGCTTATTCACAAGGGAGGGCCAAGGTAGGAGCAGGCTGAGAAGAGGAGAGCTTCCATAAGGTTGACTACACATTGTGCAAACCACATATAAAGCACAACATTGTATCTCTTACTTGGGTTAGGTTAGCTTAGGTTGCATTAGGTTTGTTTGGGTTAGGTTATGATAGCCAAGGTTGGCTTGGGTAGCATAGGGTGGAGCTAGGTTGGGTAAGGTTAGGCTGGGTTGGGTTTGGTTAGGTTGGGTTAAATTAGAATTAGGTAAATTAGGTTAGGTTTAATTAAGGAGAAACTATGCCGCAAGGATGGCGACACGTTTCAAAACACTTAGACCCTGTACATCCCTATTATATCACATGATATAATGATATAACTGGCCGTGACATTGTTAAGCCGGTAATAAATATAAACTAATAATGTAATACTACTATTGTAACACTACTACTCATTTGTAACACCACCCTACAGTACCACTAAATGTTACACTGGAACCAAAGGTACCCAAAAAGGAAATGCTACACAGGATTAACTATGCTGCGACCATCTGCCTTGTCCATTAACTATATCAAGCAACGAAGCAAGAAACATTGCTTGATTTGGAGAGTCCTTTCTTTCTTTAACTGTCATTAATTATGGGACGGTTGTTAGTAAACTATATCTAGAGGCTAAGAGGATCCAACAATTGACACAGACGGGAAGTTTAACACGAGTTTATTGAGACCAAAACTATGCAAATCACCACTATAAATCCTACTCTAACACTGGCCAATAGTTAAGAAATTTAGACACGGAACAAAACCTCAGAGATCACACACATTACCTTAAGACCTCTGCCTCTCCATCCGGTGGATTCACTCTGTCTCTTCCGGGCTGTGATGCTCTCACAGATCCACTCTGGACCCTGATGTCTGGTACTCTCTCTCAACTAAGTCTGCTACAGGACCATATATATATACACACCCCAAAGGGGGGAGGGGAAGATTTGCTGTTGCTACCTACACCGAAGATGCAAGAGGTCGGGCCACACGTGCACAAACCCTCAGGAATTTTTCCATTAAGCTTGTGTGACATTCACCATATCATTCACCATATCACCATTCCTTCAAGAGAGGAATTATTAATTACATGTGTGACTGACCTCTGACCTGGCTAAAAGGGGGAGATCCATGGATGTTTACACATAAGAATCTGGAGTCTAATTCCATTGCAATGTTTGACAAGAGTATCATTATATTACATACTTGAAACTAGCTGACTAAGACTAACCCAGGAATTTTTAATCAACATACAAGATAATCCGGAGGTCATCTGGGCTGACCTCTTGGAGAAGGCTTCCCTGGGTGTGAACTCTAAGGGGGGGGGGGCCATGGGTGTTACAATATATTATATCACGGCCAGTAATGACCCTATTATATCACGTGATATAATGATATAACTAGCCGTGATGTAATAGGGAAGTCTTTACCCTTTGTCAGGAACAGGAATCCTGATAGGCTTATTGAGGTTTCCCTAGGCCAACTAATAACCTTACCAACTAGGCAACTCCGCCAGTTACCTAACTCCCGGGTACATACTTACTGCTAGGCGAACATTTTAGGTGAAGTGGCACGAGACGGTGCCCAAACGTCTCTGCCTGGAAAGTGGAAACGAACTTGGGATCATTAGGTTGCGATCCACCTGTGGCGACTACAGACTACATGATCCTATCAACTACGAAGCTCAAGCTGGGCTCTAACAGTCCTCCGGTTTGAACAGTGCAGATATATAAGCTTAGGAAAAAAAATCACTTGATGTTAACAGCATATCTGAGAGCTTGTCCCCACCAGGACGAGAGAATAAAGCAAGAAGCAGGAGCACGAGGAGCAATCAGTAGGATCAAGACAGGAGGATCAAGACAGGAAGATCAAGACAGGAGGATCAAGACAGAAGGATCAAGACAGGAGGATCAAGACAGGAGGATGAAGACAGGAGGATGAAGACAGCAGGATCAAGACAGGAGGATCAAGACAGGAGGATCAAGACAGCAGGATCAAGACCGAAGTATCAAGAAAGGAGGATCAAGACAAGAGGATCAAGACAGCAGGATCAAGACAAAAGGATCAAGACAGGAGGATCAAGACAAGAGGATCAAGACAGCAGGATCAAGACAGAAGGATGAAGACAGCAGGATCAAGACAAGAGGATCAAGACAGCAGAATCAAGACAGCAGGATCAAGACAGAAGGACCAAGACAGCAGGATCAAGACTGAAGGATCAAGACAGCAGGATCAAGACTGAAGGAGCAGGATCAAGACGGCAGGATCAAGACAGCAGGATCAAGACAGCAGGATCAAGACAGAAGGATCAAGACAGAAGGATCAAGACAGCAGGATCAAGACAGAAGGATCAAAACAGCAGTATGAAGACAGCAGGATCAAGACAGCAGGATCAAGACAGAAGGATCAAGACAGCAGGATCAAGACAGAAGGATCAAGACAGCAAGATCAAGACAGAAGGATCAAGACAGGAGGATCAAGACAAGAGGATCAAGACAGCAGGATCAGGACAGAAGGATCAAGACAGCAGGATCAAGACAGAAGGATCAAGATAGCAGGATCAAGACAAGAGGATCAAGACAGCAGGATCAAGACAGCAGGATCAAGACAGAAGGATCAAGACAGCAGGATCAAGAGAGAAGGATCAAGACAGCAGGATCAGGACAGAAGGACCAAGACAGCAGGATCAAGACTGAAGGAGCAGGATCAGGACAGCAGGATCAAGACTGAAGGAGCAGGATCAAGACAGCAGGATCAAGACAGCAGGATCAAGACAGCAGGATCAAGACAGCAGGATCAAGACAGCAGGATCATGACAGAAGGATCAAGACTGAAGGAGCAGGATCAAGACAGCAGGATCAAGATAGCAGGATCAAGACAACAGGATCAAGACAGAAGGATCAAGACAGAAGGATCAAGACAGCAGGATCAAGACAGAAGGATCAAAACAGCAGGATCAAGACAGCAGGATCATGACAGAAGGATCAAGACTGAAGGAGCAGGATCAAGACAGCAGGATCAAGATAGCAGGATCAAGACAACAGGATCAAGACAGAAGGATCAAGACAGAAGGATCAAGACAGCAGGATCAAGACAGAAGGATCAAAACAGCAGTATGAAGACAGCAGGATCAAGACAGCAGGATCAAGATAGAAGGATCAAGACAGCAGGATCAAGACAGAAGGATCAGGACAGCAGGATCAAGACAGCAGGATCAAGACAGAAGGATCAAGACAGAAGGATCAAGACAGCAGGATCAAGACAGAAGGATCAAGATAGCAGGATCAAGACAGAAGGATCAAGACAGAAGGATCAAGACAGGCGGATCAAGACAAAAGGATTAAGACAGAAGGATCAAGACAGCAAGATCAAAACAGAAGGATCAAGACAGCAGGATCAAAACAGCAGGATCAAGACAGAAGGATCAAGACAGAAGGATCAAGAAAGAAGGATCAAGACAGCAGGGTCAAGACAGCAGGATCAAGACAGCAGGATCAAGACAGAAGCATCAAAACAGCAGTATGAAGACAGCAGGATCAAGACAGCAGGATCAAGACAGAAGGATCAAGAGAGCAGGATTAAGACAGAAGGATCAAGACAGCAGGATCAAGACAGCAGGATCAAGACAGAAGGATCAAGACAGAAGGATCAATACAGCAGGATCAAGACAGAAGGATCAAGACAGAAGGATCCAGACAGCAGGGTCAAGACAGCAGGATCAAGTTAGAAGGATCAAGACAGAAGGATCAAGACAGAAGGATCAAGACAGAAGGATCAAGACAGGAGGATCAAGACAGAAGGATTAAGACAGAAGGATCAAGACAGCAAGATCAAAACAGAAGGATCAAGATAGCAGGATCAAGAGAGCAGGATCAAGACAGCAGGATCAAGACAGCAGGATCAAGACAGAAGGATCAAGACAGAAGGATCAAGACAGCAGGATCAAGACAGAAGGATCAAGACAGAAGGATCAAGACAGCAGGGTCAAGACAGCAGGATCAAGACAGAAGGATCAAGACAGCAGGATCAAGACAGAAAGATCAAGACAGAAGGATCAAGACAGAAGGATCAAGACAGAAGAATCAAGACAGAAGGATTAAGACAGAAGGATCAAGACAGCAAGATCAAAACAGAAGGATCAAGACAGCAGGATCAAGACAGCAGGATCAAGACAGCAGGATCAAGACAGAAGGATCAAGACAGCAGGATCAAGACAGAAGGATCAAGACAGCAGGGTCAAGACAGCAGGATCAAGACAGCAGGATCAAGACAGAAGGATCAAGACAGAAGGATCAAGACAGGAGGATCAAGACAGAAGGATCAAGACAGAAGGATCAAGACAGCAGGATCAAGACAGAAGGATCAAGACAGCAGGATCAAGACAGCAGATCAAGACAGAAGGATCAAGACAGCAGGATCAAGACAGCAGATCAAGACAGAAGGATCAAGACAGCAGGATCAAGAGAGAAGGATCAAGACAGCAGGATCAGGACAGAAGGACCAAGACAGCAGGATCAAGACTGAAGGAGCAGGATCAGGACAGCAGGATCAAGACTGAAGGAGCAGGATCAAGACAGCAGGATCAAGACAGCAGGATCAAGACAGCAGGATCAAGACAGCAGGATCAAGACAGCAGGATCATGACAGAAGGATCAAGACTGAAGGAGCAGGATCAAGACAGCAGGATCAAGATAGCAGGATCAAGACAACAGGATCAAGACAGAAGGATCAAGACAGAAGGATCAAGACAGCAGGATCAAGACAGAAGGATCAAAACAGCAGTATGAAGACAGCAGGATCAAGACAGCAGGATCAAGATAGAAGGATCAAGACAGCAGGATCAAGACAGAAGGATCAGGACAGCAGGATCAAGACAGCAGGATCAAGACAGAAGGATCAAGACAGAAGGATCAAGACAGCAGGATCAAGACAGAAGGATCAAGATAGCAGGATCAAGACAGAAGGATCAAGACAGAAGGATCAAGACAGGCGGATCAAGACAAAAGGATTAAGACAGAAGGATCAAGACAGCAAGATCAAAACAGAAGGATCAAGACAGCAGGATCAAAACAGCAGGATCAAGACAGAAGGATCAAGACAGAAGGATCAAGAAAGAAGGATCAAGACAGCAGGGTCAAGACAGCAGGATCAAGACAGCAGGATCAAGACAGAAGCATCAAAACAGCAGTATGAAGACAGCAGGATCAAGACAGCAGGATCAAGACAGAAGGATCAAGAGAGCAGGATTAAGACAGAAGGATCAAGACAGCAGGATCAAGACAGCAGGATCAAGACAGAAGGATCAAGACAGAAGGATCAATACAGCAGGATCAAGACAGAAGGATCAAGACAGAAGGATCCAGACAGCAGGGTCAAGACAGCAGGATCAAGTTAGAAGGATCAAGACAGAAGGATCAAGACAGAAGGATCAAGACAGAAGGATCAAGACAGGAGGATCAAGACAGAAGGATTAAGACAGAAGGATCAAGACAGCAAGATCAAAACAGAAGGATCAAGATAGCAGGATCAAGAGAGCAGGATCAAGACAGCAGGATCAAGACAGCAGGATCAAGACAGAAGGATCAAGACAGAAGGATCAAGACAGCAGGATCAAGACAGAAGGATCAAGACAGAAGGATCAAGACAGCAGGGTCAAGACAGCAGGATCAAGACAGAAGGATCAAGACAGCAGGATCAAGACAGAAAGATCAAGACAGAAGGATCAAGACAGAAGGATCAAGACAGAAGAATCAAGACAGAAGGATTAAGACAGAAGGATCAAGACAGCAAGATCAAAACAGAAGGATCAAGACAGCAGGATCAAGACAGCACAGGATCAAGTCAGCAGGATCAAGACAGAAGGATCAAGACAGCAGGATCAAGACAGAAGGATCAAGACAGCAGGGTCAAGACAGCAGGATCAAGACAGCAGGATCAAGACAGAAGGATCAAGACAGAAGGATCAAGACAGGAGGATCAAGACAGAAGGATCAAGACAGAAGGATCAAGACAGCAGGATCAAGACAGAAGGATCAAGACAGCAGGATCAAGACAGCAGATCAAGACAGAAGGATCAAGACAGCAGGATCAAGACAGCAGATCAAGACAGAAGGATCAAGACAGCAGGATCAAGACAGCAGATCAAGACAGCAGGATCAAGACAGCAGGATCAAGGCAGAAGGATCAAGACTGAAGGATCAAGACAGCAGGGGTCAAGACAGCAGGATCAAGACAGAAGGATCAATGCAGAAGGATCAAGACAGAAGGATCAAGACAGCAGGATCAAGACAGCACGATCAAGACAGAAGGATCAAGAAAGAAGGATCAAGACAGCAGGATCAAGACAGAAGGATCAAGACAGAAGGATCAAGACACTTGGATCAAGACACTTGGATCAAGACAGCAAGATGAAGACAGAAGGATCAAGACAGAAGGATCAAGACAGAAGGATCAAGACAGCAGGATGAAGACAGAAGGATCAAGACAGAAGGATCAAGACTGAAGGATCAAGACAGCAGGATCAAGACAGAAGGATCAAGACAGAAGGATCAAGACAGAAGGATCAAGACAGCAGGATCAAGACAGCAGGATCAAGACAGAAGGATCAAGACAGCAGGATCAAGACAGAAGGATGAAGACAGAAGGATGAAGACAGAAGGATCAAGACAGAAGGATCAAGACAGCAGGATCAAGACAGAAGGATCAAGACAGCAGGATCAAGACAGCAGGATCAAGACAGAAGAATCAAGACAGCAGGATCAAGACACAAGGATCTAGACAGAAGGATCAAGACAGCAGGATCAAGACAGAAGGATCAAGACAGCAGGATCAAGACAGAAGGATCAAGACAGCAGGATCAAGACAGCAGGATCAAGACAGAAGGATCAAGACAGCAGGATCAAGACAGAAGGATCAAGACAGCAGGATCAAGACAGAAGGATCTAGACAGAAGGATCAAGACAGCAGGATCAAGACAGAAGGATCAAGACAGCAGGATCAAGACAGAAGGATCAAGACAGCAGGATCAAGACAGCAGGATCAAGACAGAAGGATCAAGACAGCAGGATCAAGACAGAATCAAGACAGAAGGATCAAGACAGAAGGATCAAGACAGAAGGATCAAGACAGCAGGATCAAGACAGAAGGATCAAGACAGAAGGATCAAGACAGCAGGATCAAGACAGAAGGATCAAGACAGAAGGATCAAGACAGCAGGATCAAGACAGAAGGATCAAGACAGCAGGATCAAGACAGAAGGATCAAGACAGCAGGATCAAGACAGAAGGATCAAGACAGAGGGATCAAGACACTAGGATGAGACAAGCATATTGCAGATAATGAACACTGATTTGTTATCAGGCGGGTGGGCACGGTAACAGTAGCAGGTGGGTGGGTACGGTAGCAGTAGCAGGTGGGTGGGCACAGTAGCAGTAGCAGGTGGGTGGGCACAGTAGCAGTAGTAGGTGGGTGGGCACAGTAGCAGGTGGGTGGGCACAGTGGCAGGTGGGTGGGCACAGTAGCAGGTGGGTGGGCACAGTAGCAGGTGGGTGGGCACGGTAACAGTAGCAGGTGGGTGGGCACAGTAGCAGGTGGATGGGCACAGTAGCAGGTTGGTGGGTGGGCACGGTAACAGTAGCAGGTGGGTGGGCACAGTAGCAGGTGGGTGGGTGGGCACAGTAGCAGGTAGGTGGGTGGGCACAGTAGCAGGTGGGTGTGCACAGTAGGAGGTGGGTGGGTGGGCAGGGAAGACGGCCCACCAGAGAACAGCAGCATCAGGGGGACGATGATGCAGGTGGGAGATAACACAGTCGCCACATCTTGGACTGATAACGTCTGGCTGCCTCAAGCTTAATGGGCGGCCCTTGAGCCCCGCTATGTGTCCACGGAGTGATACACGCTACCGCACCTCTTACTGTGGGGGGCCCTTCCGCCAGCTGGTGGTGGGGGTGGTGGTGGGGGTGGTGGTGGGGGAGTGGGGGGCGGAGGGGAGGGGAGGGGAGGGGAGGGGGGAGTAATGGTATGGTGGAGATAGTAGTGGGTTTGTTAATGGTGTTGGTTGAACTAGGCAGGTACGTGGGTGGTAGTTGTGGTTTGGTCGTTTTTGTGGTTGAGATGGTAGCAGTGGTGTGGGTTGTTGTAGTCTGGGTAGTTATATAATGTGGTTGGTGGTAGTAGTGGTGAGGGCGGTTGTGGTGGTGTGGGTGGTAGTAACAGTTGAGGATAATAGTTGTTGTGGTCGATTTGGGGCAGTGGATGCGTGGGCCTGCGGGCCTCTCCAAGCAACAGCCTATTGGACCAAGCCCTCACAATTCAAGCCTGGCCCCGGGCCTGGCTTGGAGAGAACCCCCATCAAGGTACAAAGGTACAATAGGGTGTTTGCCAGTCCAATTTGTAGTAACCGTCACTGCTAGTGACCATACGCAGCAGGACTGTGGGCCAAGTTCACATTAAAGTATACTTTAAGGAACATCTTTTAAGATAAACCACTTACTCACAATATCTTGATATACATGATTAAATCCTTTTTCGGGGCAGTCCGATAGGCTGTAATTTGTGTGCAGGTTCACCCACAAATGCCAGCATTAGAGTGGTTTAGAGGGTAATGAGTGCGTCGTAGGTGTCCACAGGCGCAAGTCTGATCCTATCTCCCTACTACAGAGGCAAGTAGGGTGATCATTAGTTCAGAATTAATGAAGTCATCTTCCCAAAGGAAGCAAATGCAACTGGTTCATTTCACCAGATACGATTCAAAACTGAAAAAGGACATATTCCATTTTCATCTCGTGATATGAATATTGACATTTCCTGAGTTCCAAGTATGAAAACGTCTCAGTGGATCTGGATTAGGGGTTCATATGTTTCAGACCTTGATTAGGGACTCATAATTATGGTCCATAAGAATGGGACTCCTAAATTGGGATTATCTTTTATATGTGTCTGTACACTTAAGACCCTTGAACTATGTCGTTTTTGGTGGACAGGTCGATCTCTGGGTGAACAGGTAGGCCGGGACACCAACACTCACCATAACCACAAGGGGAGCGCCACTTGTCCTTGGCGTAAGGTGACATGGGACGCAGAAATAAATATAATCAGCGGAACTACAAAAATCTGTTATCGGAGCCTCGTGATGCACTTGATATCAGGCGTGAGTCACCCTCCTGTCCCTCCCCTATCCTGGAGGTAGGTGGCTAGCTCTCTCCCTCCCTCCCTCTCTCTCTCTCCTATCACCTGGATTCGAACCCGTTCGCATGGCGGTCGATAGCCTTAAAATTCTTTTGGGTTTCCCACACAGCATCCTGTGTAAGGACAGGACGCTAGAGGTCATCAGGATTACACACAGCATCCTGTGTAATGACAGGATGTTGTGGTAGTAGGCAGGTACGAAGTCTCTTCCTCTGATTGGAGGACTGACAGAATGAGTAATTCTCTTTGACTCATTTGAGTCACTTGTGAGTGACTCGTCTTGATGCACATGAGATTCTTTTACTTAACTCATCCTGATTCACATGGGGTCACTGGTGAGTATCCCATCTCGACCTACATGAGTCATTCGTGCGCAGGTGGGGCGGAGTGATGCTATGAATCAGGTACGTTCGTGTGACTCAGCTGGCATGGGTGGAGCTGATTCAGGTGAGTCACCTGGTGAATCTTCTAGGTGATTGCAGGGTACAGGTAAGTCAATACTCTCTATGTTCACTCACAGGATGAGTGACGCTGCCCAATACTGTCACTGTGGCGCTGTGTCCACTCACAAGATGAGTGATGCTGCTCAATACTACCACTA